TGGCTGTCTCTGGACTCTTTCCAGCAGTTCCCTGTCCCTCTTGAACTGGGTAGCCCAAAACTTGACACAGTATTCCAGTTGTGGCTTCACCAGTGCCGAGTAGAGGGGGAGAATGACCTCCCTCCACCTACTGGACACACTCTTCCCTATGCAGCCCAGGATTCCATTGGCCTTTTTGGCAACAAGGGCACATTGCTGGTTCATGGACAATTTGCTGTCTACCAGGACCCCCAGATCCTTCTCCTCAGAACTGCTTCCCAGCAGGTCCATCCCTAACCTATACTGGTGCTTGGCATAAGCACCAGGGAAGGACGCTCATGGGCGGGTTCATACGCCAGGGAGGGATGCCCAACCTGAGGGATGCCGGTAGGTCCCCAAGGCTCGGCCAGCTGCACTCACCCGCATGTTGGGATCGTCCAGAGAATGTCGTGCCCGCATGATCGCCTCCTCCGAGACCCGCGTGTCCCCGTTAGTCTGGATCTCCAGCACTGCCATCTGGGGAAGAAGGAGCGCAGCCATGTCTGCATGCGGCCAAGCCCTGGGTCAGTTCTCGAGGGCTTCCTGAAAGCACATCCCCTGGCAGGGTGGCTGCTGTGGAGCTCTTCACCAGGACACGCAGCCTGGCCAAGCTCTGGGTCTCCTGGGCTCTCCAGTGCTCCCTGGCCGCTGCATCTCTGCCCTTGGAGCCCGTTTCTTGCCTGCCGCAGCGCTCCAGGCTGCTCACAGGTTCCCGGCAGTGCAGGGACGGGAGCTGCTCTGGGGGCACCACGCAGACCGGGGACAATGCAAACCGCACCGATAGCCCTCCAGTCTGCCCGGGCAAGTCGTGCTTGGAGCAGCGTGGTCTGTCCCTGTCCTCTGTGCCCTCCCCTCCCAGCACTGTCACAGCCCGAGGAGGAAGAGGAAGCACCAGCTGAGCACAGAAGAGGTGAGCTGAGCCTGTCGCTGCACCCAGGGCAGGGTGGGCCATGGCAGCAGCAGATGTTTTGCTGAACCCAGCAGTGATGTCTCCATCGCTGCAAGGGATGCCCGGCTCACAGCAAGGTTTGGCAAAGGGCAGGGACACTCCTCGGGAAGCTCCTGAGACGCCCAGAGATCAGCGCGATCCCCGGCAGGCCCAGCAAGAACAATCCTGCCCCATAGCCAGGGGTCACTGTGGGTTCCCGGGATCTGCAGCCGTCCTGCTCCGTACCTCCAGTGCACACATCCCGAAGGAGAAGATGTCCACAGCAGTCCCGTCAGCTTTTTCTGCAAAAGCAAACCAGAACCACATCAGGCCAGAGGTACGGACCCACCACCCGCTCACCCGGGGAGCGGCCCCCTGCCGACACTGCTGCCCGCACACCTCTGCCCACGCCTGACCCCCCTCTGCCCACGCCTGCTTCCCCCACCGCGGAACACATCTTCTCACAGTTCCCTGCACAAACCATTCCCATTTATTCCCCTCAAATTTGCACCGAAATATTCAAGATGGGGATCACATCATGAGCTTTCATGTGGCACAAAGATTCTTTACTCCTTTTTCCCTAACCGTTGTAACATTTTACATGCTTTTGAGTGTTCCTGAGCCATAAGCTGACCTTTTCAGAGCTATCCCTGGTCATGCTGAGATCTTGTTGCTAACGCACAGTCCATTCCCGTGTAGGCACAGCTGTTTTTCCCACGTGCATAGCTCTGCACTAATCAACACTAAATTTTACCTACAATGTTATCACACAGCCATTCATTATCACAAGATCTTCTGTGACTCATGGCCAACAGCTTTAGTTATGAATGCACTGAGTAATTTTGTATTGCCGCAAACACGCTGCGCCCACGCCGCGCACGGGACCCCCCTCCAGGTCTCCCCGGGCACCGACCGGCGCTGCCCGCGCCCCCGGCAGACAGACCCCGCACTCACGGCCGTACTCCGGGGGAAAGAAATGCAGATTGCGTAGCTCTTCCCTCTCGATCCTGATGGGGCTTCGCAGGTCGTCCGGGAGGGCTGTGTCGGGGAACGAGAAATGTTCTGCATCACAGCTCCTCTGGGCTGTTCCCCCAGTGCTGCGAGCACAGACGGGTGCTCCGAGGCAGCCGGGATTTCTGCACGTGCTCCTGCCCGCACAGACCACCCGTGGGGCCCTCGCTCCCCCAGGAGACCCCTCTGCTCCCACCGTTTGGGGAATTGCAGCAATTCCCCGAGGGACTGAGGTCCCCGCTGCCTGCAGAGCCCAGGACTGGTCCTCTGCGCTGTGGTATGGGAGCAGTCTTTTTTCAGTGGTGCCCAGTGACAGGACAAGAGGGAACGGGCACAAACTTGAGCATAGGAAGCTCCAGCTAAACATGAGGAGGAACTTCTCTCCTTTGAGGATGGCAGAGCAGTGGCACAGGCTGCCCAGAGAGGTGGGGGGGTCTCCCACTCTGGAGACATTCCAAACCCGCCTGGACGCTGTCCTGTGCAACCTGTTGTAGGTGACCCTGCTCTGGTGGAGGGGTTGGACTGGATGATCTCCAGAGGTCCCTTCCAACCCTGACCGATCTGTGATTCGGTGCCTCAGTGGCGAGAGGTGCCCATGGCCCGCAGGGGAGGAAGGGCGGCCCAGGGACGGGACCGGTGTGCCGGAAAGGTGGCAGAGGGACACTCACCATTTGCAAACACCCTGTGCCAGACTGCCGGTCGGCGCCGATGCGGAAGCAGACGAGCAAGAAGGCATGGAGCAAAGGACACAAAGAGAAGAGAAGGTAACTCCAAGTCTTGCATGGGTGATCCCCTGAGGGACCTTACAGCCTCTTCTGCCCAGCTGGAACCCCCTCAGCCCACCACCCTGCTTGACCCTCCCACATCCCTCGGCTGGCAGCTTCCTCCTGCTGATGCTCCTCACCAGCACGTGGAGCCGCGGGCCTGCGAGGACGGCAGCTTCCTACCTGAGCCAATCTTTATGAGCCCGTTGTGCTGGATGAAGATGGTGTCGCTGGTGAGGTTGCCGTGGATGATGGGGGGCTCACAGGAGTGCAGGAAGCTGGGGGAGCACACAGCTGCCCTGAGCACATCACCCGCGCCTGGCCCCGTGAGGAGCAGGACGGCCGACAGCGCGAGCGACGGCAAGCTTACCTGAGAGCAGACAGGATCTGAGTGCACCAGCGCTTCCAGGCCTAGAGCAGAGACCAGAGCTCTCCGTCAGACGAGTTGCCCATCAGAGCCGGGTCAGGTCATTCCCACCTCCCACCCCGCGACTGGGGGAAATCAGCCCTCCGCTGTCCCTTGACCTGTTACTCAAAGAGGAGCCACGCGCTGTCCCAGCCACAACAGTCTCCTTTCCAACCCCTCTTCAAAGAAAATCATCGAAGCTGATGGTGAGAACTCATCCTTACTGGCAGACGGAGCTCTCCTGAGCCCCAAAACCCCGGTGGGAGCACACACAGGCACATCTCAGAGGAGGCAAGGCTTGCTATGGCTGTGGGGTCCATGCACGCGGCTTTCTCTGTACACACCAACAGTGAGTCTCAATTCCAGGAGCGCCTAACTGCGCTGGTGTCATACTGAGCTCAAAATTCATGGGAGGGCTCGCACAGGCGAGCAGAGGGCCCCCGGAACGGTCACCCAGCTCCTCAGCCACAGCCAGCTGAGACCTGCCTGCAAAGCCATTAGCCAGACCCATACTGAGCGGGTTTGCGGGTGAAACTGGTCCCTTCAACCCGAGGGCTGGAGCACCTCTCCTATGAGGAGAGGCGGAGAGAGTTGGGGCTGTTCAGCCTGGAGAAGAGAAGGCTCCAGGGAGACCTTATTGCCGCCTTCCAGTCCCTAAAGGGGCTCCAGGAGAGCTGGGGAGGGACTTTTTACTGGGGCATGGATTGACAGGACGAGGGGGAATGGCTATAAACTGGAAGAGGGCAGGTTTAGATTAAACATTAGGAAGAAGTTTTTCACTGTGAGGGTGGTGCGGCACTGGAAGAGGTTGTCCAGAGAGGTTGTTGAGGCCCCATCCCTGGAGGTGTTCAAGGCCAGGCTGGAGGTGGCCTTGGGCAACCTGGGCTGGTGGGAGGTGTCCCTGCCCATGGCAGGGGGGTTGGAACTCGATGATCTTCAAGGTCCTTTCCAACCTAAACCATTCTATGATTCTATGATTCTAAGTAGTGACCTAGTCACAAGGCCACCATCCCTGGTTGAGGGTGGTGGAGACGCGGGCATCTCGAGGCACAATGCAGCCCCAGGAGCAGTCGGCATTGCGCAGCTGAACCTCGCTGTGGCAGCATCCTGTGGGTTCCCCACCCTCGGGGCCAGATCCTGACAGCAGGATCCGTTTCTGGGATGTCCTGGGGAAGTTCTGCTCCTCACCAAGATGCCACCTCCCTACAGCGGAGTGCCCCTGGGTAACTCAGGGGGCAGCCATCCATACTTGCTGTGCTTTACAGGAGAGCACAGACCTGCCCTGTGCCAGCGGGCACGGAGCTGCCCACTTCACCTGGGACACCGGGTACTGCTCCCGGGGCACCTACCCTGGCATTCATGGCCTTGTGGTTTTTCTTGGTTTTCTTCAGGAACTGTTTCAGGCTCCCTGAGGACACGTACTCTGTGATGAAGATGACCTGGGAGGGAAGAGAGGCGTCAGCTCCCCAACCTGCCCGCGGCTGCACCGGGCAGCAGCATGACGCCAGCACCGGCATCACACGCGGCTGAGAGCGCTGCTGGCCGCAGTGTCCCGGGGAAGGGAGAGGAGTCCCGGGGAGCGGTGTGAGGAGCAGAGGTGGTTCCCACTGCCATCCCCCCCCCCGGCCTGGGGATCCCCCAGACACTTTGTCTCCCCGAGTCCTCCCTACCCGCGCCTTTGAGTCTTTGACGTCCAGCCAGTATTTGTGAAGCTTCACGATGTTGGGGTGATCCACAAGCACCAGCTGCTCAAACATGGTCTTGATCTTCTCCTGCAGGCAGAGAGAGGATGGGTGAGGTGGCAGGTCCTAGGACATGGCAGGACACCTCCGAGAGCAAGGGAACCTGGGGCCGGGGAGCAGGCTGTGCCCCCATCACAGGGAAAGCTTTTTTTGGGGTACAGAGGACACACGGAGCTGTCTTTGGGAGAGAAGCCAAGGGAAAGCACAGTGCCACACAGAGAGGAGCACAGTGCTGACCGAGGTGTGCCCACGAACAGCAGGGACCGGCGCTGCCGCCCACGAAAGTGCAGTGGGTGGTCTGAGGGGAGGTGGGCACGGTCCCACCGGGGAGGGACGGCTCACCTCGTGCGCTTTAAAGGCCTTCTTGTCGGTGAACAGCAGCTCGTTCCACACCACCTCCACGCCTTCCTCCGTGTCCATGGCAAGGAAGGTGCTCTGGATGCCCGGCATGTTCCCCTGATTCACCTGCGAGGCACGGCGAGGCGTGAGACAGCCCGGCTGCAGCCCTGCCCACGGCTCCCAGCCCCACCGTCAGCCCCGCGCGGACAAACGTGCTGCGTGGACGGTCTCTGCTACCACTCCCGCGGAGGACTCCAGCCCACAGGAGGCTCTGGCCAAGACACGGCAAACCTCCGGACCGCTGCCTGCCCTGCCCTGCCCTCGGGACCTGCCTGCTTGGGATCTCGGGCATCGCAGCCACCGGCACCGTTTCTCCAGGACGTGAGGGCACAAGGGAGAGCCAGCGATTCGGAGCGGTTCCCGTGCCAGCCCCTCTCCACTCTTCCAGCCCAGCGAGAAGCTGGTGGTGACACTTACCTCCCGGCCCCACTCCTGCAGAGGGATGGGAACCCCCACGTGGACCCCCACGTGAAGCCCACTTCCCAGCAGCCCACACCCACAGCCGATGGTCACACTCATGTTGGACAGGGCAAATTCGGAGGTCCAGACAAAGCAAAGCCATAACATCACCTCTTTTAACATCCCCCAGAGACTGGGGTCAACCCCCCCATGCCCCACGGTCTGTCTGATGAGTTCCCGTCCCCAGAAGTGACGGAGCTGCGTCCCGTGGAGAGCAGCTCCGCAGACACCACCTCGGCTGGCCACGTCCCGCACGGACGCAGCCGTGACGGCCCCATGTCTTCACCGGGCTCTGCGCTGCCCTTGCGAAGGCGTCAGCCCTCCTCCAGCGGTCGGGGCCACTCGGGACTGGGGCTGAGGACATGCCCGTGCCCCCCACACCCCAGGCAGGGGCAGCACTGCCCGCTCCCGTCTACCATGCGGCAGCTCGGGCAGCCAGATGAAAAGGAGGATTGTTCTGCTCCCAGGGGCCGGTACGCGGCGTCCCACCGCCGGGGCTTGGCCGGCCGTGGCGCGGGGCAGCTGTGGGCGCAGGCGCGCGGCACCCCCAGCTCATTAGCAGGGGACAGACGGGCAGCTCGTGGCCCAGTTCCTGCTGCGGACACACAAAGCACCTCTGTTACTTGTTCTCTGCGCTCAGAAGCTCCACGTGCTTCGCGCAAAGCCCAGCACAGACAGCCAGCGACGCGGCCAGCTGGCCACAGCCTCCCCAGCGAGTCCCCGCAGCCTCCCAGTGCAAACACAGCCAGCCCAGGAGCGCCCAGCAAGGCACTGCCGGGGGAGCCGCTGCCAGGGGGCTCAGCACTCACCCCATTCCCCCCGGCAGGGTCATCCCACCAGCCGCTGCGAACCCCGAGCCATGGTTCTCCTGGAGATGCTACTGGTGGAAGGCACGGGTGGGCTGCGACAGGAGGGACTGCCCGGCCAAGGGGAGGACGGCTGAGGGCACCGTGAGGGTCTGCTGGTCACAGAGCACTCTGTGAAGCTGCTCTTCAGCCTCTCCCCAAAGATGCCACTGGAGAAAATCAGCTCATGGGCTCGAGAAAAATCCTGTCCCGAAAGCAGCCGGTGGCCACAAGGCTGAGAACAAGGAGTCAAACGGAGGACACGGACCCAAACAGCCTTTCAGTTGCCACAAGGACACGCAGCAGCAACAGAGCTGTGCACAGAGGTTACTGGTGCCCGGCCCAAAGGCACAGCCGGGGCTGAAAACCTCAGGTGTCACCTCCTCGTTTGCCTCGTCACGGGGCCACACCGTTCCTGCATCCACAGCGGGACCCAGCCTGCAGGGCCACCGCACACCGTGCCTCCCGTCCCTACGCCTGGTGGGACCGGGTGCCCGGACAGGCAATGCCACTTCCCATCCTGGGCCAGGCAATGCCACCTCCCGTTTGCCCAGAGCTCAACGTAAGAACAGCCGGGCCGAAGCGGAGCAGCCGCCTGTCGGAGAATGACCCACAGCACAAGTCCGGGGTCGTCCCTCTGCCGCAGCCTCCCAGTTTTGAACAACCCCCTCTCTGGGCCTGAAGGGGGTGCTTATGGCTCCGGACAGGGGATCTGCTGGTGTCTGGGAGGCTCTGGTACGTGGTGAGGAGCATCAGACAGGCCCACAGGGGAGGAAACGTTCCCTGTTCCGTGCAGACGCGAACGTGCTCAGTCTTGTGCTGAATGACAATAAAGCTGATACTGAACGGCCGTCCTGCGCGCCGAGACTGCATAAATAAATAACTGCTGCGTTATAATCACAGAGGTGAGTGCGGACAAAAGGAACCGGCCACAGGTCACCTTGATGATCTCACGCCGTGCCTTCCAGGGGTTCCTGACAGCTCCGCGCGCTGCTAATGGCGGCCACTGCGTGGAACAGGCAAAACTCCAGAGCCGGAGTGGGCAGAGTCCCGGCGCGGACTGCTTCCAGAAAGCCCTTGGCAGGAGCTGCGTCCGGCCCGGAGAGATCACCGGGGACAAGTAAGCCAAGGTTTACAAAAAGATCAGATTGCATCTTACAATAAATTGCTCCCTTTTGAGCTTCTCGCGTCAACAAGGACTGAAACAGTCCGCAGGAGAAGGCTTATTGGTACGGCTCTGGGGCCTTCGGAGAGCTGCTGTTAAACCAGGCAGGCATGGGGCTGGGGAGCAACGGGCAGGCATTTCTGCCGCCACTGGCACTTAGACCCGATTTGGAGAAGAAAATAAGGACGAGGTGGGTTGTTACCTCTCTCGGGTCGCTCTAGGAGCCTGAGAAAAAGGCACGGCCACGGCGCCTGGAGGAGAGGGCACTGCTGATCCTGAGCCGCTCCCCGGACACCCTCGCGTCCTCGGGACAAGCACGTGCTGGTGCTGGCCCCGTCCCTCGGCAGGGACACCCCGCTGCCCCCCGGGCACCCCTCCGCGCCATCTGGACCAGCACACCCCAGCCAGCCGGGGGACACGGAGGACACAGCAGTCCCAGAGGCCACCTCCGCCGGTGGCCCCGCTCCCAGGTCCTCGGTGTGGGAGGGGGACCAGGGCACAGCTCCTGGGCAAAGGAAACGGTCCAGACCCCAGCACAGCGGTGGGGACCCACCACCGGTCCCGGGCACTCTCCCGTGCCCCAGCAGCCATCTCGCATCCTCAGCCCCCAGCACAGATGCGTTTCTCCCGCCCCCGCTCTCCCCTCTGCCCTCCTGCCCCTCAGAGCACCCCGTGGGGCTCCGAGCCAACGGGCAGCCCCTCTGTGAGGCAGGCCAGATCCTGCCCGCGGGTACTTTACCCAAATAATTCCCAAAGTTTGGTGTAAATTTGCTTCTCTGTCTCCAAGGTAGCCGAGCAAGCAAACCCTCAGCCCTGGGCCGGGGCGAATGCCGGGGGGGGGACACGCTGTAGGGTCAGATCAAGGGTGCAGGAGAGGAGGCTGAGCCGTGGGGGGGAGCGGTGGGACAGCAACCCTCGCCCCCCCCATGCCTGCACGGCCCCTTTGCCCCCACAGGGCTGTCGGGGCCGGGGGCGAGAGGCAAAGCAGCAGCAGGGAAAGGGAGGGAAACGGCGCGTTCCCTTCTCACACCCCGAGCGCCGGCATCTCCACCGCATAACCACCCCGAAAATGACTGTGCCAACAGAAACACAGAGTTAAAGAGGCCACCGGGAGACACCCGACCAGGCTGGTAACGCGAGGAGGGCTAGCAGGACATGAAGACGGCGATGCTCACTGTGTGCGCAGTTTACCTGCCTCCTCGTGACACTGTGACGTTATCCCTTTTGGCGCTGGGCACCGGCAGGATTTGCTGGGGCCACAAGGCTGAGCAGGGAACACAGTGTGCTGGGGAAGAGCACTTCTGCAGAGTAAATCCCAACCTGCTCCTCCGCTCCAGGATCTCATAAGCCCGGGCGACAGCGAAGGCTGTGTCTGGGCTTCTCGAGGGACTTTGTTCAGGTTACAGTCTGCAAGGTGCTGTTGAGGCACGGGGATGCACCTTTGGCGGCAGAGACCGTCCTCTCAAAGCGGTGTGTGCAAGCGGCGGACGGAAGACCGTGTCTCTGCGGGGACCCCCTTTCCTTCCCACTGCCTGACACTGGCGCCCCCTCGCCTTCTCCAAAGTGCGCATTCCCCGGCCCCGACAGAGCCGGCACTCCTCTTCCACCACCCCTCGCTATGGCCCCAGGCAGGGCAGGGGTGACTGTTGTGACACGGAAATAATTTTTTAAAATATATAAAAGGAAAAAAACCTGAGCTCAGAGGGCTGAGGCCCCGCTCTGATGGCTTGGCTGCTTCCTGCGGCTCACCAAGGGACCGGGACAACAAAGCGCCGTGGCAGGCAGAGCCTGCCCCATCACCGCTGTGCCCAGCGGCAGAAGCCGGAGCAGGTCCCGCAGCACCAGCGGCGCGTGGGCGCTGGGGGGGGTCACCCACGGTCCCGCCGTGCACGTGCGAGTCTCTGGGTGAGGAGCCCACGCATCCCACGCTGCCCGGGGTCGGAGACGCGGCGGCATGGCTCCCAGCTCTCTGCTTCCAGGGCCCCGTCTCGAGCCCCAGACCTGCCACGAACAGCCCTTCATCCCCAGGGAGGTGACCGGCACCACCAGAAGCCCCGAGAAATTACGGAGCAATCTGCTCCTGAGCCCGGTCGGGCTGCTGGCGCGGTTTCACCTGGCGGCAGGGACACCGAGGGCAGTGGCAGAAGAGCCAGTCTGGTGTCATCCACCCGCGCCGCGACCTGCAGCCCACAGCAAAACAGCAGCTCGAGCCTACAGTGTCCTGCAGCTCTGCAGGAGCGGGACGAAGGATCGGCGGTGCCAGATAAACCTGTTCTCTCTGTGCGATCCTGTTACACAATTAGCAGGTGAAGGGAACACATGAGACGGAAAATATTTTGATTCCAGTGAAGCATTTGATCCTACCTCTCACAAAAACATAATTCAGACCAGCGTGGACATCGGGCGAACGCACTACCAGCTGGAGACCTCGCCGAGCCGGGATGGTGGCGTGCCGCTTACTGAGCCGGGGGGCAACGGGATGGGTCAGGGCGAGTTTAACGTCAGTGCCACCATAGGGAGAAGCGAGGCAGGTAGACGGAGGCACTCGTCGGGGCCACGCTGGAGGAGCGGTGAGCCTCGGAGGAGAGAAGGAGCAGAGCTATGGGCGGACAGAAGTGGCACTCGGCCATCAACCAGGATAAATAACGGGGTGCCCGGCGGCACTGCTGGCAGAGGAGAGCCGGGGAGGAACCATTCCTGCACAGCAGGACGTGCAGCGGCAGAGTTCTCCTGTCCCACACATCGGGGGTGCACACTTGGTCCAGCCCCCTCCCACAAACTGTCCCCGTCCATCCCCAGGAGATGCTCTGCCTGTCAGCACAGCCGGCAGGTCGTTGTTTAATACCCGCAGAGTGGGAGAAGCGGCCTCTCCCCGCGGGACCTGGAGCCGGCCTCCGCAGAAAGGCAGCCGCCGGCCAGCCCGTCCCCTCCGCCTGCGGGAGCGAGGGATGGAAGTCTGTCCTGTCTCTCCATGCCCATGGCCGCCCTTCCCTCCTGTCCCGCCGCTGCCGGAGCAAACACTGCCATCCCTGTTCTCCTTCCACTGCTGA